CCCCGACATCAGGGGTAGCAGCGAGGAGGGCGCGATGCGCCCACATTATTTTGAGAAACTAAAACATAATTCACAGGTACTACCGGCGAGCCAGAAACCGCGAAACATCGCGAAACCGGCCGAATAGGCACGAACCGAACCGAACCGCGTTTGCCCCACTCGTATTGTTCGCTAACGGAAAGCGCCGATTTATTCCGGAACAATACGAGCGGGAGCAACAAGCCGTATAAAAGACGAGGCAATTGTCGAACTCGCTGCCTTTTTTCCGCTTTCCGAGCTCCGCTCCGAAACCGCTCCAATATTCCTCGAATATCTCGAAGCACGAGAACCAGATCCCAGTCGATCGCAAGAACAAAGTGGTTGAGAGTTCTCAGTCACTGCCGAGCGTTCTCGGTAAGCGATACAGCTGCCTGCACCTCCAGCTCTCACCATTTCAGGTCCCGCACCTCTACCGGCACACCGCGGGCCTGCGACACGTTCAAGGGTGGAGTGTTCTCCACCCTCCCAAGCGTTCTTGGGGTCGTAGATCCTCGCCAGTGTCACGCTGTCCCCATTGCATCGGGGAAGCGCTCGATCCTGATTACCGCGCCGCGTATCCCGACCACACCGCGTATCACGATTGGCTGGCGCGCCCTCGCGCTTCACCATATCCTCGAATCCAGTGCGACCGCTCGCGCCGTGCCACACTGCATCTCGCAACCGCGCCGTACAAACGTATTGGCTGGCTCGCTCCCGCGTGCCCCAGCCAACGAATCCGGTGCGACCGCTCACGCCGTGCCGCCTTGTATCTCGCAACCGTACCGTACACACGGATTGGCTGGCTCGCTCCCGCGCGCCCCAGCCAACGAATCCGGTGCGACCGCTCGTCTCGTTCTATAGATACCGAGCCGTGAAGGCATTCTCGAGGTATCCCGCGCACATATCTTATTCTTTTCTTTGTAAATAATTGTATGCGTACCGTCTGTATAAACCATCGGCAATATATTAAAGCTATTTAGTTAATTTGTTTAATCACTGTAAATACGTCCATTTCGCTTAACCGCCTGCCTAACTGCATCTCATCCCAACCTGCTCGAACTTCTTTCTCGCCTCGCGCCGAGAGGCTCCGACGAGCCATATCCACGCGTAGAAAGTTAGGTTGTTACATCTTTTTTTTTAAATGGAAAAATACATACTTTTTGGATTAAATGCGGCGACTTTCGATCAGCATTGTAACACTCGCTATAGTAACACTCGCTGTAGTGGCACTGATTTGGCACGAAAATGGTGGATAGGAATACTCCCATCTATAGTGCCTATAGAAGTCTATATATATGACTCATTTAGTGACTCTTAGGCCAGTATTCATAATCAGATCTTAAATTTAAGACTGCCTTAAGTTCAGCCTTGAGGTATCATGAACCAATCAGAGAGCCGCATTAGCGTCTTAAGACATTACTTAAGACGGTTTTGAAATAAGAACCGACTATGAATACCGGCCTTATAGTACTTATTCTCACAACTTTTTGGAGTGAAATCTCGGATGAACTTTCGAAAACGTCAAACGTCGATTGCCATGAATTTTTTGATAGAAATACTCCAAATAATGTCAAATGAATGCCCTTAAATGGATTTTCACCGATAAGTTTAATGCCAAAAATGTTTACACAAAGTTATGTATTGCTGGGATGGAGTTTCGTAAATGTTGCCCCCGTGCCTAGAGGTTTACAACTTTCCACGCAAAGCGAGTTTCATCCCACCTTCCCCCTGTCTAGGGGCGTACGACTTTCCATGCGAAGCGCCTTCATCCCATCTTCTTCCCTATTTTTGGGCGCACGACTTTTCACGCGTAGCAAGGTCTACCTCACTTTCCTCCCCAGCCTAGAGGCGCACGAAGGTGAGATAGATCTTCTTAAAGATCGAGATCAACATCAAGGTCACTCGGAAGTGATTTGGAGTGAGCTGTGTAAAGTTAATCCATTCAGGCGGTATATAACTTTATTTAAACATTTTTGGCATTAAATGTTCTTATTGATGAAAATCCATTTAAGGGCGTTCATTAGACGTCATTTGGAATATTTCTGTCAAAATTCATGGCAATCGAACGTTAGACATTTTCGGAAGTTTATCCGAAATCTCACTCTGAAAGAATTAAAATATGTCACTTCTTGAAAAAGAAAATGACAGTATTTCACTCCTTTAACCTTTAGACTGCCAGCATTTTTTCCCGGTTAAAATAGTGGTTTCTTTTCTCAAAATTTTTTTTATATAAGTAACATATCCATGGCGCAGAATATCGAGATTTGTGCAGAGTAAAAGTGGCTTTCCTGGCAGGGAACGATCAAACAAAAAAATTTTTATTTTCTCAAAAATAGTGTATTTTAGGGTTCTTGGTATCGCTGATTCCAATTCTAAGCATAGATTTAGGAAATCTTGAACCCTAAATGTAATATAGACAACAAAAATGAATATAGACTCGTGCAGAGAACTTTCCTCTATTTAGCATTACCCCATAGCTAACGACATAGACGTAAAAAGTTTATAGCTCTTTTTTGACTTTTTTCTTGTTTTATAATTTTTTTACTTTTTTGTATATTTTTCA